GGGGGAGCTGTTGGCTTCTGCACGGATTACCTCCTCTGAGCTGGGAGACGTGGAACAGGGGCCGGGAGCAGCAGGAGGGATGGTGGCCGGGAAGTCCCTTCCTCTGGTCCAGGAGCAGTGGGATGATGGCTCAGAAGCCCCTACCTCTGGGCCGGGAGCAGCGGGACTCAGTACCGTGGTCTGGCGGTCCGGTGTTCTCTGCGTCTTTGTAGTGTGGAACCAGGTGGCTGTACAGAGGAACAGAGTCCAGTGGATTGTTGCCGGGGCGCGGGCTGATTCAGCGTGTTCCGCTCGACTCGGGACCTCGGTAGGGCGTGGGCAGACCTGCCTGTCTGCAGAGGGGTGATTAGGCCTCTTACAAATGACTTTAATCCATTCTTCTTTATGCAGAGTGGTACTCCACTGTGTTAAATACCACATTTTCTGTATCTATTCATCTCTGAATCCTTCTGGGAATGACAGAAGCTTCTCATGAAGTTTTCATTATTTTTCCATGGCTGGAGGACCCAGGAGAAGCCAGAGACTTCATCTTTTCTCATTAGTTAACTTTTCTTGTACTCTGTTAAGTCTTCTGCTGTCTTGTTTTCTTTCTTGTCCTCAATAAACTTCTCTGCTCTTGATTTTCTGGAATAATTCCTTCTTCTGCAATCACTGTCCTTCAGACATTTTGGTCTCTCTCTTCTATCTTCCCCTTCTTTCTTGCCTCTATTTAGTAAAAACTTGTTTTTGTCTCTACAGCAAAATTTTCTCCTCTGGGCAAAATGCTGGGCCATCACCCAGCAACCCTTCATCCTGGAGTTATTGATGCTGACTACCATGGGAATGCTGGGTTGATCTGCACAACTAGGGCAAGGAAGACAGCATCTGAAACCTTAGGGAATTCCTTTAGTATCATCTAATATTTCCATGTCCAAAAACAAACATTAAAAAAACTATAAAACACAGTACATACAAGACCAATGAGAATGAAAATTTTGAAGAATTAAAATTTATATTATATTATTTACATTATATCACTAGGTAAAAAAACCTCATTCAGCAAATGATTGCCATATGCAAGAGGAATCTGGAATGGGTAGTAGAAAAAGGAATGTCAGCTATTGCCTTGTGATCTGTTTCAGGAACAGCAAGAACACGGCATTAGTAGGACTTCATCTTTTCTCTTACTCCTTTCCTTCCCATCTCTGGGCATATCTGGAATGTTAGATCACAGAAGGCTGATCCTCATTAGCAGGATTGTTCATCTTTCCTAAAGGCCATTTACAGGGAATTGTGTTGTAGTGTGAGACACCACTTGGGGATCTTTCCAAAGCACAAGTCTTTCATGGTGATACGCTGCTTCAAAACCACTGATGACATCTTGTGTAAACTTTAACACTTTTAAGATACTGTAAGTCACTCAGTCCATTCCCTGATTACTTTAGAAGTTTTCCAGCCATTCTTCTTCACTCCCCAAAAGTACATTCCAGCTACAAAGGACTCAATCCATTCCCTAAAGCAATGATTAAGCATCCATCCCTGAGCTTCTGTGCATCCCCTCTTTCCTCCAGATATAGTCAGGAATACTCAGTGGCTGTAATAGGTCACTGCTGCTGTCCTAGTGTGGTCCTGAGTAATTACTTTGTCTTTAATTAGTTATTGCAGGAGCTGAACTCCTCCGGGATGCAGGTTCCCTTAAGCCCAGTGATGTGTAGAATGAAAGACATGTAGTGCAGATGCTGATTATGGCTGTAGTGGCTGTGACTTCACATGCCTATACTGAATGAAGAGAGGAGGATCTCAGATTGGGCCTCGGAGTAACTCTCGGCCACCCTAGGTAAGTTGAGAGGGACGATGAATATCTGAATATTCAACCTGAAGGCTGTGTTTTCCCAGATTGTATGATGTTCTTCAGAATAATGTTATAGATGTGATAACTTTTCTATTCTAAACCTATCTTCTTCTTAGGCCTTGCCAATATTTTACAAGTATTTTGTTTAATGTTTGTCAGTTATAACTGTTAATGATAATATTAATGAGTATCATTGAGCAATATATTCTTAAAAGGTTACTGTATATTACTTCAATATAATGGCAGCTATGTGAGCTAGGAAGGCTTTTACTTGGTTGTTCTTAAGCCATGTTTTCTTTATAATGATCTGTGAAGCATTAAAAAATTTGGACAGGCTACCTTTCAGAAATTTTGATTACATTGTTCTGTGAGGACCCGACAGTATGTAATGTAAAGACAATGTATATGTCCTTGTTACTGCAGGTCAGTCCATTTACCAGAGCATTGAACTTATATGAGTGCTAAGTAAAAATGTAAAATCTTCATCATGGAATTAAAGTCTGTGTTTTCCAGGAATATTAAACTTTAGAAGCACTGCCCTATGTGATTCTTACATGGACTCCAGGTTGAGAACTTCTGATTGGGGGGGTCAGGGTGGTAGGAAGCTCATTGCAGCACCAGTGTTAGCATCTGCCAATGATGTCCCATGACTATGATTCTTAGTCACACTCTCGACACCTGAGATGGGGTTTCCTTGATTAAAAGAGAATAAAAATTCTGAGAAACCACTTATGATTTTCAGTAGACATTTTTTCACTGAAATGCTAGCAATGTCCAAGTATAAACACTGCTTAGTGCAGCTGAATTAAACATCAATATCAGGGTGAAGATGCAAGAGTTGCCCTCAGTCATACATTTTTGGTGAGGGAGCTTCCCACATCACTTAATGCTCCTCTTCAGATTCAAGACATCCTAGGGTACATTAGTGTCCAGAAATCAGAACCATACATACAGCAAAATAATGTGTACATATATATAGAATGATTTTAAGAAACTGCATGAGCTGCAAACTTGTACAATACTAATAAAAAATTTAAAAAGAAATTAATTCTTGTGCTCATGGAGACTGAGATGACTGAAATCCTCAGAGAATGTTAGTGGGCCCATACACCATGAAGCGCTGACATTGTTATGTGGAGTCTGAAGGTAGTTTGGAACAAAAGCCTTTCCTCTTTAGGAGACGGCAGTGTTTTCTCTTAAGACTTTCAATTGATTGTACATGGATCATCACATAATGAAGGGTAATATGCTTTACTCAAAGGCTACTATCTTAAATCTTAATCACATTACAAAACATCTAGACTAAACATCTTGACTAAAGCTAGGTTCTAGGGCCCAGTCATGTTGACACATAAAATTTATAATGATACAGAATTTTAATATTGCAGGAAAAATTCAAATGAGGGGTTAAGGGTAGCAATTTTTTTGTTTCTCTCATCATTTCTAAAATTTCCTTCATTTTTATTTTCCATACACCAATATCAATTATGTCAGGTGGAATGAAGTATTAAGATGCTTATAACAACTCATCTGAATTAGTAAAATGCATAGTATATCTGAGGTACCATAATATTTTCCATGTTTGCAAAATTATAGCCATGAAATTTGTAAGAGTAGAAAATTTTAGAGTTAAACATTTAAAGCTGGTGAGTTATTGTCCTGTGAGGAATTAATGGTAGTAGTTGCTCTAAGTTGATAGAGTTGTGGTGTCTTTAAAGGTAGAGGAATGCACAGAGCCTGGAGGACAGGCTATAAATATTAATAAAATATTGGCTAAATCAAGGCACCAAGGCAGGTGATAGCCTTGATGCAGTCATGAAGGCAGATATGTTTTTCCTGCATGGAGTTTTTAATCTGGTGGGAAGTCAGCTACAAACAATGATCAAGAGCACTGGCTGGAACAGAATGAGTACAGGATGCCCATAGCAGCAGGTCTCTCCTGGTGTGGAGAGACATGGCAGGTTCAGCTGATCAAATCACACAAATCACATCTACCTGAAGGATAAGTGGGGGCAAGCAAGGTGAAGTGGTAGGAGAGATAAGAGAGTGCTAGGCAGGAAAAACTGCAAGCATGAAAGGCTTTAAGTTGAGCATTGCTGGAAAAGGGGATGTAAGAGACATTGTGAGATCAATTGAGGTTGGGGAGGCTGGAATAGATCAAACAATGAAATATCATTTATGTCCTTAGAAAGAATTTTGTTTATGTCTTAGGAATTGTGACAATCTGCCAAAATATTAAATTATTTAAAATGTGAAAAAAGTTGTTGAAGGTGAAAAATATTGAAATATACAAACAGGATGGTAAATTGAGAGTTTGTTTCAATACTCCCAGTGAGTTAAAGGTCAGTTTTGTCTAGTATAGTATTATTAATTAGGGATAAAGACTGAATGAATTAGAGAAAGAGAATGAAGTGCAGAATCTAAAACCTACATTGGATGTGGATGGTGCAAGAAATGAATGAAAGAAATAAAACTTTCATATTCTTTATTTTAGCCTGGATTCCTTTTGCTAAATATGAGTAAGTGGAAGAGGATGGAGTTGGAAGAGGAAGAGGTTGAAGTCATAAGTTTTATTTGACATCTGTTGTACTTACAAGCTTTATGATACATTCAAGGGAAGATAATCATTGAACATTAAAATACAGAGCCATGTAGGTTAGAAAAATGTTCACACCCAAGATTTAAGTGATACTTGAAGCCATCGGAGTACAAGAGGTTTTCTTGAGAAATGCAGAATTAGAACAATATACTGTTTAGATAAATCCCTGAGAAACATCAACATGTCAGAAACCATAAGAGCAAGACCCAAATGTAATCAATACAGATGACCCTCCCAGCAGGCAGAAAAGATCAATATATTTTATGTCTCAGAAACAAGTAGTAAGAGTAGGTAAGAGCCCACCACATCCATTGTAGCAAGGCTTTAGACTCTGCACTTCATTCTCTTTCTCTAATTCATGTTAAAGAGAAATGAAGAAAATAAATCATATCTCGTTTTGAAGCTTCAAATGGTAGACATTTGTGGTAGAGAGATTATAATTATTCTAATGGGAGTGAAATAAAGAATTTTGCTAGAAACTTAACAGGATGTGTATCATAAATACATGTTCATTTTTATTTGGACTTAAGGGACTCTATTATGTTCTTTTAAAGATACTGGACATAACCAATGATGGAAAGAAACCAAACCATCCTCTCACAGTTCCTCCTGCTGGGTTTGCCCATCCAGCCAGAGCAGCAACACGTGTTCTATGCCCTGTTCCTTGCCATGTATCTTACCACCATCCTGGGGAACCTCCTCATCATTGTCCTCGTTCAACTGGACTCCCATCTCCACACGCCCATGTATTTTTTTCTCAGAAACTTGTCCTTCTCTGATCTCTGCTTTTCCTCTGTCACAATGCCCAAGTTGCTGAAGAACATGCAGAGCCAAGTCCCATCCATTCCTTATGCAGGCTGCCTGGCCCAAATGTATTTCTTCCTGTTTTTTGCAGATCTGGAGAGCTTCCTGCTTGTGGCCATGGCCTATGACCGCTATGTGGCCATCTGCTCCCCACTGCATTACAGCAGCATCATGAGCGCCAAGCTCTGTGTGTGCCTGGTGGGTCTGTCCTGGGTGTTGACCATGTTCCATGCTTTGTTACACACCCTGCTCACAGCAAGATTGTCTTTCTGTGGGGACAATGTGATCCCCCACTTTTTCTGTGATTTGTCTGCTCTGGTGAAGCTGGCATGCTGTGACACTCATATTAATGAGTTAGTGATATTTATCATGGGAGGGATAGTTGTTATCATCCCATTCCTACTCATCATTACATCCTATGCCCAGATTTTTTCCTCCATTCTCAAGGTCCCTTCTGCTCAGGGTATCCGTAAGGCTTTCTCCACCTGTGGCTCTCACCTCTCTGTGGTGTCACTGTTCTATGGGACAATCATCGGCCTCTACTTATGTCCATCAGCTAATAATTCTACTGTGAAGGAGACAGTCATGGCTATGATGTACACAGTGGTGACTCCCATGTTGAACCCCTTCATCTACAGCCTGAGGAACAAGGACATGAAGGGAGCCCTGGGAAGAGCTTTTCATAAGAAGAAAATGCTCTTCTGTTTTTCATGATAACACTGGGGTTTTTACATAATATCACTGAATAATTATATTGATACTTGTATTGGAATATTATTTCAGTTTTCCTCCCTCACCATGGGAGCTTCTGTTAAAAAGCATATTATGTAACTGTTCAATATAGAAAAAGTAGAAATTTACTTGAGTAATTTAACTAGGAAATGGGGTCTTGGTGACCTGACTATGCCTCCCTCTTTGTCTTGTCCTGGCAAAAAATATGTAAGCGGTACTATTTTATGTGATCTCTATTTCTTAAGTTCTTAAATAAAATTATCCCAGGATCTTATTTTATCAAGTAGTCTGCTTTACCTGTGGTATCATTTTGAAATAGTGCTGTGTAATCTCAGTCTATATTCAATAAAATCAAACTTCTTATCCTCCTACCCCCTTCTAAATCTTCTATGTGTGCTCTCCTGCAGAAATTTTCGTATTACTTTATCACAAATCTCTTCCCTAGTTTTTTCATGTCTACATAATATTTTATGACTTGATTGATCCTTAATGGGTTTTTATAACCCTGTTGCTACAAAACTGTATTTTGGTTTGGCAAGGACTTGCTTAATTCCCAAGAGTTTTCATTATTTTTTCTAGTCATGAGGAAAAAAAGCTAGAGGCTGATACAACATTCTGTTTTTAAGGATACCTCTCCTCTGTTTGTATTTTGGACTTCACAATGGAACTTTATACCTGTGTTTTTTTCTACCATTGTGACGGTTCCATGGAAGTAGGGAAGATAGTAGGTCTGTTTTACAGGCTCAAAATGGAGTTCAAGAACTTCCCACATCACACAGTGTCAACTGTTGAGCCTGTGTAAGAGAATCTGATTCCACAGTTCCCTCTAATTTCCTCCTACTCCAGAGAGGAGAGCAGCCATTCCCTTAGAAAACATTCTAACAGACACAAGATTAAAATCCCAAACATACAAAGAATTTCTATTATCTAATAAAAGTAAAACCAACAACTGAAGAGAAAAATATACAAGTAATATTAACATAAAACCAATAAACAATATGAAAAGATGTTTAGTTTCAACGTTAACAAGAACAAATCAAGTTGAAAAACAGTTGGTGGAAGGGATGAGGGGCTGGAGGAGACAGAGAGAGAGGAAGAGATGAGGAAGTAAAAAGGAGCAAGATGTGATACTCATATGTTCCAATTCTGAACAATTAAGGAATTGGTCATATATCCAAACATACACTAATAAAGTATTTTAAAAGAAAAACGGTCAGTGACCATTGAATGATCATGTACTTAGCAGTTTTATCAGTGATTAATTTTCTATGACAATAGCAAGGATGTGGGATAAGGAGCTCTTACATATAGGTTTTCATTTTCTTCAGCTACCATTTACCCATGAGAAAATACACCCATTTCATATGCACAGTTGTATGCAACCTGTAACCCAGTCCAAATCTATCATAAATCCATCACCTTACAATTAACTGTGAACCATGTGATCACTTTCCTACCTCCCACTACTAATCTGACTTCTAACTGCTATTATTAATACATATTAGATTTGCCCATTGTTGAAGAGTATATAAATGGAATCTTTGGCATGTGGGAAGCCAATTTTTCCAGTACTATTTATTAAAGAGGCTATTTTTCTTCCAGTGAAGATTTTTGGTCCCTTTGTTGGAGATAAGGTGGCTGAATGTATTTGGAGTTGTTTCTGCATCTCCTAATCTGGTCCTTTGATCCTCGGATCTATTTTTTGGCTAGTACCATGCTGTTTTTATCATAGTAGCTCTATAGTATAATTTCAAGTCAGGGATTGTGATGCACCTTGCCTTGCCTTCTTTGTTCAGAATTGTTTTTGCTATTCTAAGTCTCTTCTGGTTCCAAATGAATTTTAGGAATGTTTTCTCTAATTCTGTGAGGTATGCTATTGGTATTTTGATCAGATTGCATTAAATCTGTATAATAATTTTGGGAGTATGGCCATTTTCACAATGTTGGTTATTCTTACCCACGAGAAAGGGATACCTTTCCATTTTCTGATTATCATCTTTGATCTCCTTTTTCAGAGTGCTGTAGTTTTCAATGTAAAGATCTTTTACTTCCTTTGTGAGATTGATTCCTAAGAATTTCATTTTTTTCAATGCTATTGTGAAAGGCATAGATTCTTTAATTTCTCTCTCACTGAATTTATTATAACATTTCAAGGTAAATGGATGCATCTTGAGACCATACTCTTAAGTGAAATAAATTGGACACACGTCTAAATATCACATTTTTTTCTCTGGTGTGAGAAACCAAAAGTGTAAATAAGGACTAAAATGTATACTAGATATTGTGAAATAGGAAGAAAATGTTTAAATGGGAAGGGGAACTAGGGAAGGAAGGGAAAAGAAAAATAGAAACAAAGCTTTTGTAAATAAGGTAGAGAACAGGAGTTGGAGGGAGGGGAAGGGAATGGGAAAAAAAGAAGGATCAAGATATATCATGTACAGATGCAAATTTCCTATAATGAATGTGATCATTATGTATATCTAAAATGTACAATAACCTTAATTAAAATTCATATAAAATGATTACAGTACTATACTATACTATAAAATAATAAAAACATAAAATATAAAGACAAATAACCAAATAAATAAATAATAAAATAATAAATGGAATCACTTAGCAGTACTCTTGTATCTGGGTTCTATCTATCAATTGTATCTGGTGATGCATCAGAGATTCAATCATGCAATTATGTGTGCTGCACTATGCTTTTTAAATACTCAGTAGTCTTCCAGTGTATAAATATACCACAATCATTCATTTTTCTTTGATAGGCTTTTGAGTTGTATCCAGTTATTGATATTATTTTTCAGCCCCAGCTTTATACTAAAGGAATCTTTTTTTAAATCTCCTTTTACATAGCAATGAATTTTGTAATGAAAAGATAAACATGCTTTTTGCATGTTACCATAACACGTTTTCTTATTTTATTACTAGCAATAAACAGAATTCTTCATACCATTATTTTAATATCATGCCTTTTTGGTTTTTTAGTTACTTTGGTTAGTTCTTCAGTTAGATTGCATCATTTTTAAAGGAATGTTACATAGATGTTACATTTATTGAATATTTACATATTTTATATTGTCTTTTTTGTATACATGCAAATTGTACCTGAAGAACAATTTTTCTAGGTATAAAACTTTTTGAACATCTGTGCTTTCCCATTTAAATTTAAATCTCCATGTTTCAAAATAGCTTTGGAAAATTCTAAAATAAGATTTACACTCCCTCTTGTCTCTACTCCTTATATGGTTACCTACTCACACATTTGTAGGATTATTTCATCAAATTTGAAGTTCAGTAACTTCATCAAATTTCGTTTTTATATTTTTTGCCTTTTGTTATAAATTTATAAACACCAATCCCTTTTGATTTATAAGCCTTCATATTTATTTCAAAGTTTTATTATTATATCTGGACTATTATGGTTATTTCATTTTTCCCTCTTCTCTACTTTAGTATGACCAATAATTTTGTACATGATTTGAAGTTTATACAGCATATTCAATATATACAAAATGATCTTTATTTTCATAAATAATATAGAAAAATAATTTGCAGTGTTATGATTATATAAATATTACCACTTGAGAAGCAAAATCTAGATGGAATTCTCAGATTTAAAAAATGAAAATCTATAGCTCTCACTGGATACCAGCACTGAAGAGAGGATGTCCCAGCTCTCCTGCCAGCTCTCTGGGCTGTCACCTGCTCACCCTGCTCAGCCTGCAGAGCACTGCTTCTGGGTCTGAAAGTCACGGGGACTCCAGTTGGGACAGCAAACATGACTCTTGTGTTTCGTTGGCCACCATTCCAACACTAGAAACAATATATGCATATGTATATGCATACAATTCCTTTTCTTCTAAGCAGTGATTCCAGAGGCACTAGCAATATTTATCTTGGAAGACTCTTTTCCCCATCCTGGACCGTCATCATTGACCGACTCTTTTCTGTTCTCACCATTTTTTCTTACATAGTATTTCCTATCACTAATTAACTTTCACTTACTATGTTAAAAATCACTTAACCACC